GGATCCTCATCTGAATTCATCACAGCTGGCTGAAGAGAGCTTCACTGCCTCATGGGAAGCAAAACTAACTTTTAAAACGGTCAACATGCCCTGCTCCAGCCACATGTTGGGAGCTGGCTCATCAATGCACAGATGAAGCCTAAGGAAGCTCCTCGTAGGACTTGTCTTAATTGGACTTTGGGAAAAGGGGAGAAGGGATGTGATCTATAGACCCACATGACTAAACTAGGACAAAAGGTGACTCCTTTATAGCTGTTATGAGGCACCCATATGGGAGCCTGCACTTATAATCAAACACAGTACTCAATATGTGACACAGGAAAAAGTGATGACCCATATGTATGTTAGCTCCCCATGATGGTACAATTAAGGCCTGGGCTGAGAACTGAGAGGAGTCACAGTTCCTGAAATCTGAATACAGGTCCAGACCAGTGAACTAGGAAAGTCCAGCCAGGTGACTCTGAATTTGATGCCTGCAACACCGTGCAAACATGCTGCAGCAGAAGGAGCTGGGAAAGAAACTATAGGACAGATCAGAAATACCTCTATGCCTTAGACTTTGTAGAAAAGTGATGTAAAGTCAAATGTGAAAAGTGAAAATGTATAATAGAGAGCACTTGAGACAGTGAGGACTGCAGCAGAAAAAAATCTGTTTTCACTACTCAAAAGTAGTGAAGACAAATTGCTCCACAGAATCAGTGTAACCCCTGAAGCCAGTCAAGCAAGCTGATATTGGGACCCCAATTAAAATATATATGGAGTCTCAAAAGGGGGGAATGAGAGAGGATACCCAGGAAGGGTGAGGTCTAGGAGAACAGAGGTCTTCTTAAGGAGACCCCAAGGATACACCTGCAGGGGCTGCTGGTGACTCAGCTGTTAGGAATTTATAGACTTAACTTCCTGAGACCTGGAAATTTCCACTTCAGTGAAATCCTGTAGTTTTGTGGGGCCTGGATCAGCTTCTCCTGCTTGATTCAAACTGACCAGTGAGAAAGGTACCCATGAGCTGGAACTTTTTGACTGGAGATAAAAAGGGAAAGATCAAGCCAGTCAGGGAGCACGGCCATTTTGAATTCTATGCTGTTTGCTCTGCTGGCTGAATAAAAGCCTTTTTCCTCTTAAATATGGTGTTTGGGTGCTCTTTCTCTCCATTGGGCCTCGTCTTCCTGCAACTCTGTGAGCTGTGATGACACCATGATAGTCAACCCAGGTCAACAGAGGGAGACTTTATCCCAAAATAAAATATCTAAATGTACACACTAGACACACACACAACTATATGGTCTGGACAGATCTGCACATCCATAGGCCTCAAGAGGGAAACTGCCAGTAAGATCCTCACTGCAGCAGGCCCTGCACAGGAGACCCCCACAGGTAATTTTACCTGAGACTCTAACCTCATGTGACCCAGGGGAACGACAGGTTCCTGAAAGTGATGTAGGGATTCAGTGAGAATGAACTCACAGGCCTTAGCATTGAACCTGCTCATAGTAATTTCTCAATAAATGCTGAATGCTCTTCTCTTACTAAGTTAAGAGAAACTTTTTTTTTTTTTTTTAGAGACAGAGTCTCACTATGTGGCCCTTGGTAGACTGCGTGGAGTCACAGCTCAAAGCAAGCTCCAACTCCTGGGCTTTGGTGATTCTCTTGCCTCAGCCTCCTGAGTAGCTGGGACTACAGGCGCCCACCACAAAGCCCAGCTATTTTTTTCTTGCAGTTTGGCTGGGGCCGGGTTTGAACCTGCCACCCTCAGTATATGGGGCCGGTGCCCTACTCACTGAGCCAAAGGCACCCCCCCTTTTTGAGATTGTCTCACTTTGTCACCCTCAGTAGAGTGCTATGGCATCACAGCTCACAGCAACCTCAAATTCTTGGGCTCAAGAGATACTCTTGTTTTAGCCTCCCAAGTAGCTAGGACTATAGGTACCAACCACAATGGCCCAACTAGTATTTATTTATTTAGAAATAGTCAGTGTCCCCCTCAGTAGAGTGCTCTGATGTCACAGCTCACAGCAACCTCAAATTCTGGAGCTTAAGCAATTCTCTTGCTTCGGCCTCTTAAGTAGCTGGGACTATAGGCACCTGACACAATACCTGTCTATTTTGTTGTTCTTATTGTTTCTAGCAGGCCCAGGCCAGGTTTGAATGTGCCAGCCCCAGTGTATGTGGCTGGTGCCCTAACCACTGAGCTATGGGCACTGAGCCCTGACTAGTTTTTAGAGATGGAGTTTCTCTCTTGCTCAGGCTGGTCTTGAATTCCTGAGCTCAAAAGATCCACCTGCCTCAGACTCCCAGAGTGGTAGGATTACCCTGCTAAGAGATACATTTTGATGAAAATACTCAATAGGAGAGAGTAAGAAAATTAAACTGACACCTCCCTCATTGCTGCTGATAGCACTGACTTGATAATGTTTCTTGTCAAGGTCTACTGATGACTGTGTTTATTTTTATTTTATTTTTTTTTTTTTTGAGACAGAGCCTCAAGCTGTCCCCCTGGGTAGAGTGCCATGGCATTACAGCTCATAGCAACCTCCAACTCCTGGGCTCAAGCGAGTCTCCTGCCTCCACCTCCCAAGTAGCTGGGACCACAGGCGCCCGCCACAACGCCCGGCTATTTTTTGGTTGCAGCCGTCATTGTTGTTTGGCGGGTCCGGGCTGGGGATTCGAACCCGCCACCTTAGGTGTACATGGCTGGCGCCTTAGCCGGTTGAGCTATAGGTGCCGAGCCGATGACTGTGTTTATTACAGTAAAGGATACAAACCAAAATGAGCAAAGGGAAAAAGGTTACAGGGAAAAGACATGGGGAGACCAGGCGCAGGTATCAGGACATGTGTCCTTGCAGAGATACTCAGAGCATGCTTTCTTCCTCCAGGGACAAACTGACAACGCATGTACTTTGTGAGGTTTCACAACTGAAATGGCCCAGTGCTTGGCTTCTTCTGGGGGCCGGGGATTTGACAGTTCTTTTGAAAAGCAACTCAGTAGCACGTGCAGTCTGAAAAGTGGTCCTACCCTGTGACATGGCAATCCCACTTGTGTGATTTGATGCTACAGAGAAAAGGTGAAGCCAGTCACTGACAGAGATGTGCTGGTATTAATAAGAAATTAGAACCTAAATGGAAATAGGATGTGAGAGACTACTAATGCAGAACATTTCCAATAAGACAAAATGTGAAAGAAGTAAAAATACATGAAAATAGGCATGACAGTCAATCTCAGGAAATAAACAAGTAGAGCTGCTAACTACTTTAATATTTTCCTTTTTCTAAATTTTGTGTAATGTGGCTAAGTTTCTTCTGTAACAGTGTTTTAATAAAGGACATTTCTTCCCTTTTCATGCAGAATGAAAATAGGTCCTTGTGTTTGCACTGGGCTGCCATCCACCTGCTGCTTACCCCACACTTTGAAAGTCACCAAAGTCAGGTGCTGGGGTTGGTCCCCTTTTCTCGTGGCTCATATCCCCCTGCTGACTCACAGCCCCTGCACAAGCAGTTCTGTGTAAGCAGAAATTCAATGAATTCTACTTAAAGAAACAAACATATGAAAATATACATCTTGGCCAACCAAAGAGGAATCTATTTGTAAAGGAAATGAGTTCTTAAAGAGTAGCCAAAAAAGGACAGTTATAGAAAAGATTTCAAAATATTTTCTTTTTTTTTTGAGACAGTCTCACTATGTGGCCCTTGGTAAAGTGCTGTGGCATCACAGCTCACAGGAACCTCAAACTCTTGGGCTTAAGTGATTCTCTTGCCTCAGTCTCCCAAGTAGCTGGGACTTGTTTTCATTGTTGTTTGGCAGGCCTAGGCAGGTTCGAACCTGCCAGCGCCAGTGTATGTGGTCAGTGCCCTAGCCACTGAGCTATAGGTGCTGAGCCCAAAATATTTTCTTAAAAAATGATGAAATTAGTACAAATCTGAACATTATTATAATAAGTGTTATCATCAGGTTGGCATACACCTTCCCTGAGGGTGCAGCAGCAAGTGGGGCAGTGGGAGTGAAACTCCAGATATGAGTGGAGGCTGGGCTTCAGACCCTGGTCTTCTGCCATATTCTCACTGGGTGACTTTGGTCAAGTAATGGAACTTCTCTAGGCCTCAGTTTATTTATCTGTAACCTAGGAGTAAAATAGCACCCACTTTATAGGATTGCAGGGAAGTCCCTGTATTGAGAAGACTGCCTTCGACCTAGCAAAGGCTTCTAAATGCTAGTCATTGTCCCTCAGGACTCATACTAGAGAGACCAGACTTCTGTGCACAGGTCTGGGAGGGAGAAGGCTCTAAAATAACACCTTACAGAGGCTGCCCCCCTCACAACCATGTGGACTTTTGTGTACAATGCCCACTTCTACACGGTAATAGAGTGAACCTTTGTGTCCCCCCAAATTTGAATACTAAAATCTTTACCACCACCCCCACCCCCCCAGTGTGATGGCTCTAGAAGGTGGGGCCTTTGGGAGGTGATTAGGTCTTGAAGGTGAAGCCCTCATATATGGGACCTCATTTAGAGATCACCAGGGAGCTCTCCTGCCCCTTCCCCCACCCGAGGACATAGCATGAAGGTGCTATCTGTAAACCGGGAGGTGGGCTCTCATCAGACACAGAGTCTGGCTGTGCTTTGTTGTTTGTTTGTTGGTTTGTTTTTGGTTTTTGAGACAGAGTCTCACTTTGTCACCCTCGGTAGAATGCTATGACGTCATAGCTCACAGCAACCTCAGCCTCTAGGGCTTAAGCGATTCTCTTGCGTCAGCCTCACTACTAGCTGGGACTACTGGCATCGGCCACAACGCCCGGCTATTTTTTTTTTGAGACGAGGTCTTGCTTTGACTCAGGCTAAGGCAATCCATCTGCCTCGGCTTGTCAGAGTGCCAGGATTAAAGGTGTGAGCCCCTGTGCCTGGCCTCTGGTTGTGCTTTGATCTGGGACCTCCAGTCTCAGATAAGCTATGGTTTGGGTTGTTCACCAGCCACCTGCTGTGTGGCGTCCTGTGGACTGAGACTTACCTGGCTCCCCAGGTCTTCTCGCTGGCTTTGCTGCTGGCTTTGCTGCGGGCTTCGCTGTGGGCTTCGCTGCGGGCTTCGCTGCAGGCTTTGCTATCGGCTTAGCTGCGGGCTTCACTGCGGGCTTCGCTGCGGGCTTTGCTGCGGGCTTTGCTGCGGGCTTCGCTGCGGGCTTTGCTGCGGGCTTTGCCGCGGGCTTCGCTGCGGTCTTCGCCGCTGTCTTTGCGGCTGGCTTCGCTGGCTTTGCTGGCTCTGCTGTCCAGGGCGCTTTCCCTTTCTCCAATAAGGTGATCACATTTGGCCTCCGACTAGAGAGACCTGCACAAGAGACAAAAGTGGGAATTGAGCACAACGCGGAGACTGCAGAATTCAAAGCCACACCCTGTGTAAACAGGAGTGAGGGTTTATTAGCAGAAAGGGAGCACGCAGTATGCGAAGGGCCGCTAGAGGCTGGGGAGTGTGTGCTGTGACGTACCTGTGGGCTCCATCCCTTTTTCCTGGCACTCATCTCCTAAAACCTTTGACATCTCCACACAGATGAGTCTTTATGTATGATAAAGAGGCGACTAGGGTCTGGGGGCTCCTGTACCCAAGGACTCCGGACTGGGCTGGTGGCGGACTGGGCTGGTTGCTGAAGGAACCAACCCTGTGATCAGAGGGTTGGCACTTCAGCTCCACCTCCTGAGATCCGGGGGTGGAAGGAGGGGCTGGAGGTTGAGTTGATAACTGATGGCCAATGATTTAATCCGCTTTGCCCATGTGATGGAGCCTTCATAAAACCCCGCAAGCGCTGCGTAGGGAGAACTTCCGGGTTGCTGCGCAAGTGGAACGCAATGCAGTATCCGCAATGCAGTACCCGCAATGCAGTACTTGCAGCCAGGGTATGGACACCCCGCACCCCTCCCCCTACCTTGTCCTCTGTACATCCCCCAGTTGGCTGCTCATCCTTCACACTGAACTGGTAAATGTAAGTAACAGGTCCCTGGCTCGGTGCCGGTTGCTTAGTGGTTAGGGCGCCAGCCACACGCACCGGGGCTGGTGGGTTCGAACCCGCCACGGCTTGCTAAACGACGACAACAGTAACAAAAAATAGCGGGGCGTTGTGGCGGGCGCCTGTGGTCCCAGCTCCTTGGGAGGCTGAGGCAAAAGAATCGCTTAAGCCCACTTGTTTTGAGGTTGCTGTAAGCTATGACGCTACAGCAATCTAAGGGCGACATAGTGAGACTGTTTCAAAACAACAGCTAACACGTCCCTGAGTTCTGTGAGCAGTTGTAGCAAATGACTGTATCAGAGGACAGGATCATGGGAACCCAGCAATCTGACTCTCAGCTCTATGGGGACTTTCTTCTGAGTCCTAAAATGCCCAAATCCATCCCTTTGTCCCCCCCAGCCCCAGGGATGATGGCAGCCTCCAGCAGTTACTATCTCTGCACTATGTCTGTGAACTAAACTAAAAATCTTAAGCCCCCAGTCAACTGAAGGGCTTCCTCTTGGCTAAGGGGACTCCAGAACAACGTCAAAGGGAGGTCAGGCACACTTGGTCATGCCCCCTCCCTTGACAGCAATAAGATAATAAATCATTAACCCCATGCAAGGTGAAGCTTAGCCACACCTGCAGGCCATTGATTTACTTAAATCATTTGAATTTTGGCAAATGTCTGGTGGGTTATCTCTGATTAACAGACAATTTAAAACATTCCGAGCAGACAAAGCATCATTTCTTTAAACAATTAAAAATGAAAGAAAAAAAATTTTTTTTGAGACAAGAGTCTCACTTTGCCACCCTCAGTAGAATGCTGTTATGTCACAGCTCACAGTAACCTCCAACTCCTGGGCTTAGGCTACTCTCTTGCCTCAGTCTCTGGAGTAGCTGGGACTACAGGCACCCGCCACAGTGCCTGGCCTGTTACAGTTTGGCTGGGACCGGGTTCAAACCTGCCACCCTGGGTATATGGGGCCGGGTCCCTATTCACTGAGCCACTGGTGCCGCCCAAATCAAAGAATCTTTAAACTCACTTACAACCTGTAAGCTTTTTTGGGTCAAAGCAATGTGTGCCCTTTACATAGTGACTTGTGATCTTACATGTAATTTCTGTTTCCATGAATGTACAAAAGCAAACTGTGACCAGGCTCCCATGGGCACATTTCCTCAGAACCTCTTAAAAACATATGTGCTCTGGGCCATAAGTCACATACACTTGGCTCAGAATAAACATCTTTAAATTATTTTACAGAGTTTAAATTATTTTACAGCTATTAACACATAGCACCTGTTAAATATATGTATTAAAATTTTTTAAAACAACTAGGTTGTCCTCAAAAGGTCATACACAGAGTTTCCATATAACCCAGCAATTCCACTTCAGGTATACACCCCAGAGAAGTGAAAACATAAGTCCACGCAGGACCCTGTACATGAATATTCTTAGCAATATAGCCTAACAGCCAAAGGAAGTGACCACATAATTGTGACTGCTTTTGTAGGAGGCTCAGAATAGGTGAATCCCTAGAAAGT